CCGAGGAATGAGAGTCAAGACAATTCGGCTCATGGATGTCACAAACGGGAATAAAGATTACAGAAATTGAACGTTTTTTGTAATCTTTGATCGGCCCATTCTCAAATGCCTTTCTCCGTTCCTCCTCTCATTCCGTTTGTTCCTTGCCGAACCCGTAATTCCCTGGTCCATTCCATATTATAATCTTTGCAATTGGTGAAAATGTAATCTTTATTCCCGTTTGTGGCACTGTGGAGGCTTAAAATACGGGAACCAATCAGAAATGGATTCAAATTGTCTTGACTCTTAGTATAAAGGGACTCTACCTAAAACGCGCGCGCAACACAGGGAAATACACGCGCGACACAGTAAATGTCCGCTGCACTGTTGCCAAGACTATGCTTTTTTTTTTTTTTGTACAAGAGTTATAATATGTACAGAATGTTTTTAGATGTAAAGTTACATCTTTAAAAAAACTTAGATTTAACTTATAAGATAAACTTATACTATGTCACACACATTTTAATTTATATAAAAAGAGAAACACCCTCTGAAAAATGAGGAGGGAAAAAATAGAGTCCCTTTACATTGAGAGTCAAGACATTAATGTGAATCCATTTCTGAATGGTTCCCGTGAAAAAATAGAGTCCCTTTATATTGAGAGTCAAGACAATGTGAATTCATTTCTGATTGGTTCCTGTATTTTAGGCCTTCACAGTGTCACAAACGGGAATAAAGAGTACATTTTCACCAATTGCAAAGATTATAATATGGAATGGACCAGGGAATTCCGGGTTCGGCAAGGAACAAACGGAATGAGAGAAGGAACGGAGAAAGGAATTTAAGAATGGGTCGATCAAAGATTACGAAGAACGTTCAATTTCTGTAATCTTTATTCCCGTTTGTGACTCCATGAGGGGTGTTGTCTTGACTCTCAGTATAAAGGGACTCTAGGAAAAAATAAAACAATTTTGCTTCGAAGTAAAAATGTCTTTTTGTTTCAACTAGTTTTAACTTGGAATGCGGATGACCGAACCCGGTCAAAATAAAAAACCCAAGAACCTCTGATTGCGTTAGAAAAGCACAAGGAGGCCCATCAGTTTAAAGGAAAGATAATTTTGAGAACCCTTGAATTCCAAGCTCGTGGGGTTTGCGACGTTTTAATCAGCGGGTGCATTGGTCCGTTTCCAGAAGTGCAAGCGCTTCTGGGTTGGGATGGCTATGCAGCCTAATTTCGTACGAGTTATACATTTTTGTTAATACATTTATGTAGTTCTCTACAGAATCAATGTTGAGGTCGGCGCGAATATCTGCGTTCCTCTAATACCATCTAGCTTTTGAAATGCTTCGTAATATTTTCATCTGTATGACTTCTATCTTTTTTAAATTTGACTTGGCTACACAGCCCCATAACTGGCAGCCATAACTCCAAACCGGCCTCAACATTGACTTGTAGAGGAGCAGTTTGGTTTCTAGAGATAACTTGGATTTGCGGCCAGTCAGCCATTGCATATTATGAAATTTAAGTATTTATGGAGATGTTGCATGTGTGCGGGATTTGCGATTTGACTGTTGTTTCATAATTAACAGTTCGCGAGAAACACGATGGTGCCACTGGTTTTTTCTGAAATCAACTCCCGAGTTCAAAAAAAGCTCTCAAAGTGAGGCCAAAATAGAGGGGATATCCCGTATGGAACGCCGTTTGTGTCCAAACCTCACCTCGAGAGAACACACAGGAAAATGTCAAGAACACGGTGCAAATCCCGAGACTACAGCCGAAACTGTCCAAGAACACAACGAAGCTTCTGAGAAAACAGTGAAAGCTCCGAGAAAACACCATACAGGGTATTCCAAAAGTCCAGCCCCCCCCCCCCCCCCACTTTTGAACGGTACGAGATAGAGAAATGCAACTTTGGGAATGTTCATATCTCAAAGGGGACCATCTTTTGGGGGGGGGAGGGGGGGTAACATTTTGGTCTTCCTTCAGGAGGGGGTCGGGGGGCTCCGATTTTTTTTTTGTCAAATGGCAACCCCTATTTTGTGATATCTCATTCAATAAAAGAACATAAAAAACTAAGAATTTTGGCGCAAACCGCGGATCAATATATTGATTTTTAACCGTGTTATGATAGGTCAAAGGTCAAATTTGACCTTTTTTTAAAAAATCATAACTCCGGTTCAAATTATCGTAAAGAAAAAAATGAAACGGGAAAAGGACCCTACAACAAAACGGCCAAATCGGCCTAAACACGGAATCGTACGATTTTCTCAGGGATGATAGAGGGTCTTCCCAGACACTCAAAACTGGTCATATTTTTTGCCTAACCCCCAGGGAAAAGGGGGGGATGGGGGTCAAAGTCAAAGCCTTTAAATTAGCATAACTTCTCAACGGTTTGTCGTAGAAAGATGATCTTGGTGTCAAAATTTCCAAAAATATGAGAGCTTTCAGAATATATGTATGAAATTAATAAAATTTTAAAATTTGACCCACTTTTGGGGCATTTTACAAGGCCCCCCTTTCGTAAATTTTCGTTTTTTGAGATTTTCGATTGTTCGGTTCGCACGAATCAAAACAAAAACAATTTCAAATGAAAGTAGAGCGTTTAAGCTTTAAAACAAGCTCAAGATAATCTTGGGGAAAGGATTAGAAGCGGAGTTATGAGTCTTCAAAGTTGACGCGGCGCGCGGGAACCTTGTATGTTCCGAGTCTCAAGGTCACCTGCGCGCCCCGGATTGCCTGCAGGTTGCAAGTTTCTATATTTTTATTCTTCTGTAGGTCATTTTTAATGTAAATCATTCAATGAAGATAGAATAATCGAATTTTTTTAATTTTGCAGGAGGAGCGAGAGGGGGCTTAGAGTATCAACCATTATGTCCATCATACCTCATTAAACATTTGTAGACGATGACGATTCTGCTCTTATAATTTAGAAGAAACCATGGACCCTCAGTTCAAATATACATATGCTCCATACAGAACTGAACCATTTAGAAATTATAACCCATTGATGCCAAATTTTGGGGTACCCCTAATTTTAAAATTTTTTAATTGAGCTATAAGCTACAGCGCTTGACGGAACTCACTTGGTAAAGCCAAATAGTTTCTTGTAGAAGCAGACGCGCTTTGAGCTTCAAAACAAGTCTCAGTTATGCTTGAGGGGGCTATTTGAAACGCAGTTAAAATTTTTTGACGTTAATGTGGTGTACCTCGCCGAAGGCCCATTGTGTAAAATTAAAAAATTCTGATTCAACTATCTTCATTGAATGATTTACATTAAAAATGACCTACAGAAGCATAAAAACACAAAAACTTGCAACCTGTAGGCAATCCGGGGCGCGCAGGTGACCTGAGACTCGGAACATACAAGGTTCCCGCGCGCCGCGTCAACTTTGAAGACTTATAACTCCGCTTCTAATCGTTTCCCCAAGATCATCTTGAGTTTGTTTTAAAGCTTAAACGCTCTACTTTCATTTGAAATTGTTTTTGTTTTGATTCGTGCGAACCGAACAATCGAAAATCTCAAAAAACGAAAATTTACGAAAGGGGGGCCTTGTAAAATGCCCCAAAAGTGGGTCAAATTTTAAAATTTTATTAATTTCATACATATATTCTGAAAGCTCTCATATTTTTGGAAATTTTGACACCAAGATCATCTTTCTACGACAAACCGTTGAGAAGTTATGCTAATTTAAAGGCTTTGACTTTGACCCCCATCCCCCCCTTTTCCCTGGGGGTTAGGCAAAAAATATGACCAGTTTTGAGTGTCTGGGAAGACCCTCTATCATCCCTGAGAAAATCGTACGATTCCGTGTTTAGGCCGATTTGGCCGTTTTGTTGTAGGGTCCTTTACCAAAGTGTGTTCGCTTTTAAGTAAAAATTGCAGTAAACTTCGAACTAATTTTAAGGGGGGGAGGGTCGGACCCCCAAATACGTCAATTCAAAGGTCACTCAATTTCCCCGCGAAATAAGCCAATTCCCCCTAGATTTGCCTCCACATAATTTTAGTAGGGTCAAAATCAGTTCAACATTACGTTGGCAAGCCCCCAAATTTCGGGAAAAGTTCAAAAAAACGAAATTTCAACGGTCGACTTTATTCACCTGAAATTTCGTTTTTTTGAACTTTCCCCAAAATTTGGGGGCTTGCCAACGTAATGTTGAACTAATTTTGACCCTACTAAAATTATGTGGAGGCAAATCTAGGGGGAATTGGCTTATTTCGCGGGGAAATTGAGTGACCTTTGAATTGACGTATTTGAGGGTCCGACCCCCCCCCCCTTAAAATTAGTTCGAAGTTTACTGCAATTTTTACTTAAAAGCGGACACACTTAGGTAAATTTTCCCGTTTCATTTTTTTCTTTGCGACAATTTGAACTGGAGTTATAATCTTTGGAAAAAAAGGTCAAATTTGGCCTTTGACCTATCATAATACGGTCAAAAATCAAGATATTGATCCGCGGTTTGCGCTAAAATTCTTAGTTTTCTATGCTCTTTTGAATGAGGTATCACAAGATAGGGGTGGCCATTTGACAAAAAAAATCGAGGCCCCCCGACCCCCTCCTGAAGGAAGACCAAAATGTTAACCCCCCCCCCCCNCCCCCCGAAAAGATGGTCCCCTTTGAGTTATGAACATTCCCAAAGTTTCATTTTTCTATCTCGTACCGTTCAAAAGTTAGTGAGGGGGGGGGGCTGGACTTTGGGAACACCCTGTATGGTGTTTTCTCAGAGCTTTGACTGTTTTCTCAGAGCTTTGACTGATTTCTCAGAAGCTTCGTTGTGTTATCGGACAGTTTCGGCTGTGTTCTCGGGAGTTGCACCGTGTTCTCACTCTATGGTGTACTCGCCATTTTCCTGTATGTCTCTCGAGGTTTTAGGTTTGGACACAAAAACGGCGTTCCATAGCCATACCTTGTCTCTGGCCATACCCAGAGACAATTCCGTTTATTATAATCTTTGCAATCGGTGAAAATGTAATCTTTATTCCCGTATTCCCGTTTGTGACACTGTGAAAGCCTAAAACACGGGAACCAATCAGAAATGGATTCACAATATTCACATTGTCTTGACTCTCAATTTTAAAGGGCTCCAAGGGCTCTAGGGTACTCTATCTTCTCCATCCATGTGCGCAAAATAAAAATAGATTGTGGACTTGTGGAGGTTCGTAAGGCCGGACAGACCAAGCAATGAGTTGATACGATGAAGAAATTGTATTCTTCTACTGTGGAAACAAGCAATAATGACAATTGTGACCATACGAGAAAACTATACAAGTAAGTGTTTTCAAGGTCCCTATTTTTATCCTACGATAGAAAATGGATGTTGTAATCCATTATGGGTATCCTGAAAGGCTTGTCACTGACCCTTATTAAAGCGAGCCAATCATTTCATCCAAATTTATAGGTCCTCATAGAACAAATCTCTAGTTTTCTGGCGTACTGAATTTTATTGAATTATCGTCCTCATTTTCTGAGTTACTCCAAATTTTAGGCATCAAGTTTCTGTGACCCTTGTAGGTGTATTATTCTTTGATTGCGGAAAGAGTGAAAATGACGTAATATGTAAAGGACCCTGCACCCTCCTCCCGGGAGTGTGTGCCCTGTTCGATTTCTTATTTTTTAAATTCGTCTATGGATGTTGATCGAAAGTCTTATGCGCCAACTTTCTACAAAGCACCGTTTTTGCATAATCTGCAATTGAAGTGTCAATAATTTTAAGGACTGGACAACTGATATCACAACACTGTCTGGTTAGAACAATAGAGTGGGAGAAAGAAAAATAGCTGATTTTAATGGTGGACAGTTAACGCGTGTGGAATCCAAGATAAGACTGTCGCTCTGCTGCTGATCCGTTTTCCTGTTGACGTAATTTACACGCACCCAAAGTCCCCAACCGTACTCGATGTGCTGAAATGAGGGGTCTCTGTAACTCTTCATCGCCCAACTACCATCATTTATGCAACTAATTATCGATCCTATTAATTTAATTATATATTTACACTTTCCCTGCAGACCGAGCGAAAACGGTGGCTTGTTGAAAGTTGACGCAATGATAACTTTTGATCAGCATCCATAGACGAGATTGAAGCAAGAAAAAAATAGGAAATTGAACAGGGCACACACTCCTTGTGGGCACCTTGGCATGATCCTCTATATAAACAAGCTTACAACAGCTCTTACCAACTAAGATCAAGATCATTCTGCTCAATTTTACCTTTTCGTTCATTCCACCTAATATTCCAGTCTGGCGTTGCTAGATTGTGGGATAATGTGAGTACTTTACATAGATTTGAAAGGGGATTAGTGCTGGGTTAGCAGCATATCTGGCAACAGTAGAGTCTGGAAAGGACGAGAGGCCTCCTTCCTGGGAAAACCCATGATTCTTCCGGAAATGTCATTAAAACTAATTAAGTAGTACCGTTTGAAGCATCAAATGTATTAGATCGAAAGCTATTTTAAAGTAATAATTGTAAGTGGACACAGATGTTACAAAATGGAAAACATGAAAAGAAGAAGAGACGAGTATTGAACATGAACAGTTCTGTTTTTCTAATTTCATACTTTCAGCTCAGATATTTTAGAAAATCTTTAGTAGATATTCATTGTTTTCTCTTTCAAGCAAATATTTTATTCTACGTAAGGCAGTGCTTCACCCTCTCCTTCCATTATCCCCTTCCGTATGGCGCCTCTTTACTTCCCCCCTCCCCCGAATGCCTCACTTGATATATCGACTTAATATTTGGGGGTGCCTCCGTTTATAAAAAAAGAAAGGGGACCCCTCTGAAGATTCGTCTATAATCAGTGCTCCTTGCCGCTTCCATTTGATATTTTCTGAAAAATTGGCGCTAAGCACCAATTCTAATCTACGTCAGGTTTGCTTAACTCTTTCCTCCCCTTAATCAGGAAATTTCAAGGAAGCCTTGATCCCCTTCTTGTCTCACCTCTTTTCCAAAAAAAAAAAAAAATATAATTACCTATGCAATCAGAGAGAATGAAAGAAGAACATCAGAGAAATTTGTATGGAATGAAACTATAAGGAAAAAACACAAGTGGGCTAACAGCGATTCGGAACTCGAACTATACTATTTTTGAGCAGTTTTTAGATCCCTACGTCACCGATAATCTTGTTCAGAAGTAAAGACGAACTATTGCTATTTCAGTGAGTCAAATCGTGGAAGGAGATCCACGTTTGTCACTTTCCTCCACCCGATGAGACTGCTGTCCCATTCAAATGCGATTTTGAAGAAATGATCGATACCCATCATTGCTTCATCTCCACATATTTATTAATGTTCAAATGATGGGACGTGCCGGTGACAAAATCATTTGTATCTGGGGAGTCTCCAAAATGTAAATATCGTAGTGATCAAATGTCCAACTACTTGTAAATGGTTCGCGGAGCGAACTGAATGTCACTCGCGTAGCGAGTGACTGGGGGTCCAGGGGGCGCAGCCCTTCGACTAGCCATGACGGTCATACAGGGTGTTCCAAAAGTCCCGCTCCCCCCCCCCTCTAACTTTTGAACGGTGGCTTGGAGATAGAAAAACGAAACTTTGGGAATGTTTCTGTCTCAAAGAGGACCATTTTTAGGGGGGTCAAAATTGTTGCCCCTCCTTAAGGGGGGCGGGGGGCCCCCAACTTTTTTTTTTTTCAAATGGTAGCCCCTATCATGTGTGGAAAGAACATTAAAAACTAAGAATTTTGGCTTCACTTGGTATGTTCTCCATGGCTCAGTCAATCATTTTCTTATTAGTCGCTATGTCGAGCCTCTTAGCGTGAAGCTGGTGTAGGGGATTCTTACTTTTACTATTTACCCACCCAACTCTCTAAAAACCTTAAAAAAATTCTATTGTACATTCTTATTCTTTCAAATCCTTCTTAGCTTTAATATAACCTCCTCTGTCTATAGATGACTGCAGATTCCTATCAAAATAATACAAAGGAATAGAAGCCACAAAACTCAAAAAAAAAAGAAAAAAAAAAAAAAAGAAAAGAATTTTGGCGCTAACCGCAGATCAATATCTTTATAGGCAGCCTAGAGGCAGCTTTATATAGAGTAACATTACTCTTATATTTTGCTATTATTATTGAATTGTATTATTTACTAGCAACCCTTGCGTGCTTTGCACGTAGCAGTCTGTGCAGACTGAATGTTGGGAACAATCTCCACAAAATCCCAGCGAAGCTAAATTACATTAACTTGAGCCCTCATTTATCCCTGTTCCCTTCAAAGGATGAGGGTGTTCTGATTTTTGATAGGAAATATACTCTTAAAATTCTGATTTTAAGAGTATATTTCCGATCACAATTTTGAAGTCTATCAAAATCAGAACATCCTTATTCTCCTACCTTTAAAAGCAATCGAGACACAAGGAATACTTATCGTGTATCCCCTTAATTTGGCCGCCGTCTTCCAAGATGGCTGCTAAAAGCTGATTTTCGTGATTTTCTTATTTTATGGCGTCTCTAATTTGTCTATTCTCATTAAATTTAACAGAATTATTCATGAACTTGTCTCAAACGAGGCAAAATCGAGACTTGAGTCTAGTTGGGTCAGTCCATGCTAACTGGTTCCACTTTGAAAAAGTGACCCCTTCAGAATTCGATGACATTTGGCATACTTAGCGTACATGCATACCTTCGCAAAAATCCTAAATTTTCAATTAATTCGACCACCCGTTGGGCTTTTAATGGACACTGACAGTTCGCAAAAGTTGGCCTCTTTCGAGGGATGCCATGCCTTTATTGATGTGTAACTTGACACGTCATAACGAAACTTTCGAACAAAATGGATTTTGTTCTTGCCTTGGGCCGCTATTTGGAAATCAGCACCTTAGCCTCGTTTTTCCTAGGTCTCTCTGATTTTCGTGGCTTTCTTCCAGCTGGACGTTGAGAGGACTATATTCAAAATCGGCCATTTTCCACCTCGGCCTGATCTCAGAATCCAAAACGCTGATGATTTTCCAAATCGGACGAATAAAAGGAAAGAAAGGGGAGGGAAAGGGGGTCAGAGTTAAAACTTTAACTGGCATATCTCGTGAACGGTTTGTCGTGGCGAGATGCAACCGCCGGTAATGAGAATAAAAATCCAAAACGTCATGATTCATGGTCGGTTGGGGGTATGGATGATCTTACATGGTTCGTTTTAAAAAATTTTAATTTTTCCGATGACCACCCGCGATTTTTTTGGATACAAGTGTCGAGAAAGACTTTCGATTGGGGAATTGAAAACCGCAAAATCGTAAGTGGGGCCGTTTTTTTAAATTCGACTTTTTCTATTTTTAAGGGTAAAATGGCGGCAAAAGGCAATGTGTGACCACCAAAACCCACCGCCATCTGGTCAAATTAAGTTAAAATTCTATGTATGTTAGTCCTTGACATGTAAATGAGTGTCCTCAAAAGTTTCAAACCCTCCCTCAAAGAATTGCACCCCCTCATGCGGTGTTGCCAAGTTAAAAACCCGATAATGACGCGGCTGAAGGGGCGATGTAGATTTTGAATTGTGATCATCACCAAAAATCATGAAAACACTCACCATTATACACTGTGTGGATAGTTTTAGATTCAATTCGATAAAATCGTACGCAGTTGCCATATTTTCGTTTTTTAAAATTGCAAAATTTGGCCAGAAAATGTCAATTTTTTCATTTGATTAAAACCAGTAAATGCTTATTTTTCAGCGACATTATCAATTGATAGACTATTAATTGAAGAATTTATTACGTACAATGAGACGTTGTCAAAGTCACTGAACTTCAATTAGGGAACGCAGCTGATCTATGAAAATAAGTACACACAAATCGACGAGCGGATTTGGCTCGAAAATAATCCTGATGTTATTGTTCCTGACTGAAAGTGTAACATTTGGACACCCCCCCCCCTTAATATCCAAAGAAAAATGAGGGAAAACAGTTGTTAATTCACGAGTAAGTAGTAAACACGAACCGTTTAGAAATTTACTGATGTTCGCAAATAATTGAAGCCCCGATCTCTTAAAGTCCAGCTATAAAGAGAATAAACTTCAGGGTTCACAAATGATAAAAGCGTGTTTTATCAATTTGTTCCAGATTTCGAAAAATTTAAAGTAACAGCAAAAGTATCGTAGCGTGGGAAATGAAGTTTAGAGGCTCATGACCGAGATAGGTTTGCTTATTCATTCCCGTGTATTAACTGTGCGAGCGATTTTTTGAGGTTCTCAGAATTTGCTTCGGAATCAAAAAGTAAAATTTGAACAATTTTTCACTTAAATTTTACAAAGAGAAGAAAAGATAACT